TTTCTTTTAATATGTTGGTTCTCCACATCCTTCTTCCCCTTCCCTGCCAATTGTTCTGAAATCAAATTGTTCTTTAGAGCTTGCAGAGGCTGGATCTTGTTGACTGTATACCTGTGGTGATCAGAATCACTCATCTCCTGCATATCCTGTCAGTTGGTGGTAGAACTAGAGGCTTGGTTAGATACAGGTTCTCCTCCTCCTCCTCCTCCTCCTCCTCCTTCTTTTTGGCAAGACTAGTTCATGGGTGATATGATGGACAACCATCTTATTTTATCTCTATTTTGATGTTAGCAGACTTTGATCATGGTTTATATGTGATTTATGTTCACTAGATGTTGCCAAGTATTAATCATTTATTTCTCAATCCTTTCTCATTTATGCTCTGGAGCCTGGAGCCTGGAGCCATGGAGGTAGGGCCTCTGGCAGGAGCTGTGTTACAGAAAGGATGAAGTCACCTCCAGGAAACAGGACCCAGAGCAGGAAGGACATTGGGAGGAAATGGGTGGAATTTCCCTCCCGTCCTCTCACCTCCTGTTGACAGAACCTAGCCAGAGGACACAGGACAAAGGGATCAAGGATCACCTAGGAGGAGTGGTCAGCTGAGGGAAAACTGATGGGGGTGGTAGCCTAGTTTCCAGTCCTACAGGGAAGGTCAAGGTTGGGGTAAAGAGTCCTGGGCACAGAGTAAGCAGCAAAGACCCATAAGAGAGATGATTTTGTAGTTCTCTTGAATCCAATCAATCACATAATTCTTGAGCATATACTATATGTTCAGCATTGCAGCAGAGACTTTGGGGAATACAGAGAAAATTATCAAAATGACTGTTTTTCTGTTCCACTTATGTAGCAAATTCCTTCACTGCCTCAGGTCATTTTCACATGCCATGTCTTCAGCCTAGGATGCTCTTCTCCATTCCTCTCTCTTTGCCCAGTTCTCCTTAGCCTGAAAGAGGTCAGGTGGTGGGTACATTGCTAGGTACCTGAAGAGCCAGATTTCGGAGTACAGGCTGGCAATTCCAGCAAGCCTACACGTCTGCGTGCCAGCTCTACAAGCAGCTGTACCTCGAGGATGACAGAACCAGTTCCTTTCTGGAACTGCAGAAAGGAACACTCAGATTCTGCATTGGTGGCATCTGTGTTGACTCCCAGACCAGTTCCAAAATGGGGACTGTTCGTGCGCTACACCTGTGCATGTGAGTAGCTGGAATGCTTCATCTACTAAGGAAGGAAGCTCCAGGGCACACTCCTTTACCCCACAGTAATAAAAGAAAGTAACTCCTCAGCGTTCCTCCACTACTAGTGTCTGTTTCTCTATGAAAAACAGTGAGGAGCCGGGCGCGGTGGTGCACGCCTGTAATCCCAGCAGCTCGGGAGGCTGAGGCAGGAGGAGTGGGAGTTCCAAGCCAACCTCAGCAATGACGAGGCCCTAAGCAACTCAGTGAGACTCTGTCTCTAAATAAAATACAAAATAGGGCTGGGGATGTGGCTCAGTGGTTGAGTGCCCCTGAGTTCAATCCCCAGTACCAAAAAAAAAAAAAAAAAAAAAGCGAGGAAACAGGGACACAGGGAGATCTGGTAGAGACCTTGGGGGTGACCCAGGCAGCCTGCTGCAGAGGGTCTTGCTCTTAACCCCTGTTCTGCGCCTGCTCTCGCCCTCACTCGCTCTTTTCACTTTCGTTGTGATTTTCTCCTCCAAGGATGTCATCTTTTCACGTCCTGCTGCTGCTAGATTTGACCCTGGATTAAGCGGGAGTGCAGTGGAGAGAGGAGAATTAACACCCCTGAGCCCTGACCTAGACCAGCCCCATGCTCTGTCCCTTATGAACCTTTTCATGGTGGAGCCTCCCAAAGCCTAATGATCTGGGACTATCTTGCCATTTTGAGAAGGGACAACATAGAGTGGAGGTGGAACTGGGACCCCTGTGGAGCCAAGCTACAGGATTCAAATTGGAAGAGTGGAGGATAAATAGGTTAGTTTTCTGTCACATACAATTACCTTACAGTTATTTCTTACATGCATAGAGAGATGCTGCATTATTTTTGTTTTTGTTTTCTTTTTGGTACCAGGGATTGAACCCAGGGGTGCTTAACCACTGGGCCACCCTCAGACCTGTTTTGTAATTTATTTAGAGTCAGAGTCTCACTAAGTTGCTAGGTGCTTCGCTAAGTTGCTGAGGCTGGCTTTGAACTCATGATCCTTCTGCCTCAGCCTCCTGAGTCGCTGGGATTATAGGCATGTGCCATGGTGCCCGACTGCTGCATTATTTTTAATGCTGTAACAAACTGCCAATTTTGTTCACCCCAAGTTTGAGCCTTTGGTTTCTGCATTGTCCTCTGGCCAGTCTCACTTCATTTGAGGGCACACTCAAGCTGTAGGACTCATTGAAGCCTCACTGAGTGGCCTGGCCTGGGGGAAAGATGACAGAGATGGAGGAATGATTGACACCAACTCAGTTTCTCCAAGAGTCTAGGGGTGAGATGCCCTGACCTGCACTAGAGCAGATAGGATGGTGTCAGGGGTTAAGGCTGAGCAGGTGTCTCGGAGGAGAAAGCGGATTCCTCTGGAGGGCTGGGGCTGGAGAGCAACAGTGAGGTTAACACGTGAATTTGTGCATGTTCCCAGCCTAGCAACTGTGCAGCCAAGGGCCCGGCCACATGGACAGCACAAGGTCCCACCACCTATACTACCAGCAAGCAAGAGCCTCAGCAAATACAGTTGGTGGAGCTGTTTCCCTTTGAGGAGACAGAGAACCCGGTTCCCCTCTGCAGCCTGGGGGGCTTCCCATAACATGCCTGAGGGCAGTGAGCCTGCAGATTCACGGTGATCTGCCCTGGTCTGCATGTCACAGGGGACCCCTAGCCCCTGCCAGCCGTATTCTAGGAACTGCACCCTCCAGTGTCACCACTCGGATAAGTGGGAATCAGGCTCCATTTCCTTTGTGGGACTGTTTTTCATAGACACATGTGTCATCTCAGTTCCCACAGTGTAATAGCGACAAAGGAGAGAGTTTCTTTAATTTTCAGTATCAAAGGACCACATGTATGGAAAACGTAAATAATTACATTCTCTGGAATGCCCATCTGGCATTCTGGAGAAATCGATTTTTGCTTTTACAAACTAATATGGTGATAATGAGGAGTCAACGAAGAGTTGAAGATTGTCACTCGGGTGGTCCCTTGCAGATGCTGCAGATGTTGATAGTAGGGCAGTTGTGTGTTGGGGGCAGCAAGGGCTACATGGAAACCCTTTGTATTTTGCTGGGAGCCATTAGCCAAGTAGGTATGACAATTTCCTTGCCAGCGTACCCCATGTTGCTGACATGTTGCAGTGACATTGAATGTACTTAACCTTGCTCAAGGACCAAGGCAGATTAGGGTGTTCCCGGTTTTAAGATAATCTTGTTTAGGGCGTTCCCAGTTTAGGTTCCAGGTTTAAGGTTTAAGATTATTCCTGCTGGGAATAGGGCGTATCCTGCTGCCTGAGTTCCCCTTGAGTTCTCACGGGATTCAGACAGTATATTTTGGAGATAGAAGCCCAGTGGAGGTGGATTTGGGCAGAGAACGTGGATTTGGGAAGAGAACGTGGATTTCCCCAGAACGTGATTGTAGACGGCTGGTGTGAGTTCGGGAATAAAGAGTTGCTGTTTGAATCTACAAGCTGTGTGGTGGCTCGTGATTGTGTGCCCAGCCAGACTGCGGCATTTGGCGGCTTGTACGGGGAACTTCTAAAGCTTAGAGGTAAGTGAAATTTCTCACCCTTGAGGAAGAGAGAAAGAATGGGTGACCAATTCAAAAAACAATATGCTATTGTTTTGATTTATTTTGTTTTTATTTCAAGTTGCCTGTTCCTAGAACTTTCTCAGGCAAACTGGGGAAAATGGTTGACTCAAGGTTTGAAGTTGTTCGCCTCCGAGGAAGAGAAATTGTTAGAGAAAGGAGGCACCCCAGTAAGACCAAGAACAGTTAAGGCATATGTTGATAAAATACAAAAATGTAGCAAATGGCTTTTTAAAGACAAGTTATTAAGTATATCAATGGGACCATCATGGTATCCTGTAGAAGGATTTTTCTTCAAGAAAGAGATGACTAGTTCTGTTTACTACATTTGTCTAAGATCTTGGTTTTTACAGACATCTGATTAATTTACAAAGCTAAAATGTTGAAACATCAACCACTCTTTACTTATTAAGTTACATAAGGTAATATATTTAAGCATGTGTGTTTTCATAAATTGGTGAATGGAAAAAATGTTTAATATTGCTTTGGTCTGTGTCTTTGCTAAAACAAGGTTACTAAGTGTTAAGATTCTATCATGTGTAATTTATATACAAAGAGTATAAGAAGTTTCAGTTGGGTTTCAATTATAGTATTATAGTATCATAAAAAACATGAAAGTCTTTCATCTTATTAAAGTGGAGTAATTTGTCTAAATCAGAAATTTTATAAGAGTTGTTTCAGAATGTAAATTTATAAAAAGGGTTAACAGTTAAAAAAGAGATATAAAAAGATTCAAGATGTGGGAATATATTTTAATATAAAAGGTTAAAGGAAAAAGAAATGATTCTAGATGATATAATCTGTGTGGTAAAGTAAAAAGTTGTAAAATGCCATTTAAAAAGATTTTGAGGAAACTAGACTTAATTTAAAAGCTTGAGAAAGGAAGAAAGAAGAAAAAGGTATTTGTACATGGCAGATTGAGACAAAGCTTCTCAATGGAGTTAAAAAAAAAAGCCTTTGGTTGAAGGGCAGCCATGTAAACTAACATTAAAGCGATTTAAACAGAATCTAAGCCTCGTTTAAAAGAGTGAAGTTGTAGGTGGTGAAAAAGTACATTTAAAAGTACAGTATAGATGATAATTAAAAGGCTTTAAAAGGTTAAATTGAAGGTGGTTGAGATACCTTCATGGCGGAAAAAAGATTGCTTTATTGCATCATTCGAAGCCTAGTTAATCTTAAAGGCATTACTTTAAAAAAAATGGGAAGATAATAAGAAAAGATATTTAGATAAAGAAGATTAAAAATTTAAAGTGAAAAACTTTAAAAACAGAAGTACAGAAAGGTAAAAAAAAAGAGAGAAGATGTAGAAAGATAAAAAAGATATAGGAAGATTAAAAAGATGTAGAAAGACAAGAATTTTAAACCCACAAAATAGGAAACAAGAAAACTAGGAGAGAAAATAAGCAACTAAGGGTAAAAATACAAACCTTAGGAAAAAAAAAAAAAAAAACTAGAAGATAGAAACAAGATAAAAAATGGTTGAAAATGTCAAGTAAGGTATTACACAGATAGAAAATGCAAAAAGCTAAGACAACTATTAGATACAGACATACTTATTAAAGCAAAAAGAGGGAATTGGAAAGGGGTATATATCCCCCATAGATAAACTTAAAATAACCCTTTTTACTCTAAACTTTTAAAATTTGGATTCATAAGGACTTAGTGCTGCGGAAAGACATATGTATCCAAAAAATGTACATAAGCCTAAAGTACTTTGGAAAGATATTCTAACAGGACAATGGAAAGGTCCTGACCCAGTGATTGTCTGGAGTCGGGGGTCTGTTTGTGTTTTTCCACAGGGAGAACAGCAGCCCATTTGGATTCCAGAGAGATTAACTAAAACAGTTTCTACAGATCGAAAAGAAGATGATTTGACTCAAATCCATAACAGCTGATATCCAGAACTCCAGCTTGGCCATTCTTACATCTGCGACAGTGATTAACCAGGATGCTTTTTTCAATAGCTATTTTATTATTGCATTTTTCCACATCATAAGGTTCTATTTTTATTTTTTGAGCTCATACAAACCTAGGTTAATGTTTTTCTGATCAGTTTTATTTTTTGACTGTGGAGTTTTTAAACATTGCAATGGAGATTTCACCCAGGTAAAGCTACAAGGCCTTTACTATTTTCTTATGTGTTGTACGTTTGTGTACACTCTTGTGTTTTGTGTTGTATGTCTGTATGTGCGTATGTCCATATTTCTTGTATGAGGAGCGCTCATGAAAAAATGGATCCGAATTATTATTATTTTTTTATTCACGTGATTTAAATCGTTTAATTTAAATTATGTAAACAGCTGTTAAGGATTGTTTTTAAAGGTGGTTAACAGATGTTTGTTTACTAATTTAAATTAGGTAAAAAGCTGTTAAGGATTGTTTTTAAAGTAGGTTAACAGATCTGTTTGTTTACTTTCACCTTTCCTTTTCATTATATTTAATAATTCTTTTCAGGATAATGTCTCTTTAGCATCATTGCCAGAATTCCTATCTCCATCTCAGTGCTGGTGAAGAACTCAACAAGTAATGCTCAATCAAAGAGTCAACTTACTTTGGGAGGAAACGGATTTTGGGAGGAAATGGACATATTGATAGATTCCTCTGCTTTGAACTGCTTGCAGAACTTGCCTGGACTATGTAACTATCGTTTGATGGTGTCACTAGTGATGCAATTTTTATTTCCTTGCCAGCGCACCCCATGTTAATTGTGGTAGTGCTGACATATCTTTGCTGATGGTGTCACCAGTGATGCAATTTTTCCCAAGGAGCCGTCAATTGGCTTGGTGTCGTGGCATTTCTGTATCCTCCTCCCTTCTGCTAGTGATGGTCTAAAATTTGGGGGCCAATGGCTTATGCTGGACCGGTAGTCAGTGACGGGTATGATCCAATTGCAGTGGTATCAACCTAAGACAGGAGGCTGACGCCTAAAGGTCAGTTTTCCGATGACGGGTAAGAACCATATGTTGAATTGGACAACCTACCAGGCACGGTCCATAAGCCACATTAACCTCACTCCCCCACTGGCACCAAGGCCAAATTTGGGGGCCAACAGAGGTGAGGCAAAGAACCTCACCCCCCCACTGGTGCATAGACCTATCCACAAGTATGGCTGTATGCTGGACCGGTAGTCAGTGACGGGTATGATTCAATTGCAGTGGTATCAACCTAAGACAGGAGGCTGACGCCTAAAGGTCAGTTTTCCGATGACGGGTAAGAACCATATGTTGAATTGGACAACCTACCAGGCACGGTCCTTAAGCCACATTGCTTGTTGTTTAATTAATCAGAAGGGGGGAGATGCTGGGAGCCATTAGCCAAGTAGGTATGACAATTTCCTTGCCAGCGTACCCCATGTTGCTGACATGTTGCAGTGACATTGAATGTACTTAACCTTGCTCAAGGACCAAGGCAGATTAGGGTGTTCCCGGTTTTAAGATAATCTTGTTTAGGGCGTTCCCAGTTTAGGTTCCAGGTTTAAGGTTTAAGATTATTCCTGCTGGGAATAGGGCGTATCCTGCTGCCTGAGTTCCCCTTGAGTTCTCACGGGATTCAGACAGTATATTTTGGAGATAGAAGCCCAGTGGAGGTGGATTTGGGCAGAGAACGTGGATTTGGGAAGAGAACGTGGATTTCCCCAGAACGTGATTGTAGACGGCTGGTGTGAGTTCGGGAATAAAGAGTTGCTGTTTGAATCTACAAGCTGTGTGGTGGCTCGTGATTGTGTGCCCAGCCAGACTGCGGCAGTATTTTTTGCTTAATTTGGCTGAGAGTGTAAAATTGATCTAAAAAGAAAGCCTATTTTAAGAAAGACAAATTAATTTTTAAAAAATAGACAAACAGTCAGGTGTGGTGGCATTCGCCTGTAATCCCAGCCGATCGGGAGGCTGAGGCAGGAGGATCAGGAGTTCAAAGCCAATCTCAGCAACTTAGTGAAGCCCTAGGCAACTCAGTGAGACTCTGTCTCTAAATAAAATACAAAAAAAAATAGGGCTGGGGATGTGGCTGAGTGGTTAAGCACCCCTGGATTCACTCCCTTGTACCAAAAAGAAAAAAGACAACCAGGCCACCTACTTTCTCAGTGCGCTCCTTCCCAGACGATATTCCTCCGACTCCCTGTAGTAGGTTTGTTTGCCAATCTCTCTTTCCCAAAAGCGCTTGAGATCGTGGCAGGTGTTCCCGCAGAAGACCTCCCGGCGGCGGGCGTACTGATTGTTCATCCCCTGGAAAAGAAAAGAGCAGCCAAACCCTGTAAAACAGGAGCCCTCGGCTCTCCTGGGTACAGAGTCCGTGATAATTCAGACCCACTATTTCCACCAGGGAGACCCTGGCCAGCCACAGGACCTCTATGATAAGGCTCAGCTCACCACTCCCAGTTCTTGTTGTCAGGATACCTGAGACGTTGATGCAAGTGGAAGGTGGCCCATACCTGAACAGGTGGGCCAGGAACGGTCATTGGCAAACCCCCTGTCCTTCCTTCCTCCTTCAGGAAGAATCATTCCTCAGCTGTTTACTGGCAGGTGTGTGTACCACTAATTTGTGCACCTTGGACCCCCTCAGCCATGGCAGCATTCTGGTGAGATGGGTGGGACCTTCCTCACGATGGGGGACATTTGAGGAATTACAGAAACTGCATGAAAGTATATACATTTGAAAGTTTTCAAGCCCTTTATAACAGGGACCCCAATGTCTAACACACCCAGAGCAAGCTGCTTTGAGCTGCACCTGCATGCACACACGTGTGACCATTTGTACACGTGCTAGTGCTTGCATGTGGAATTATATATGTCAAATGATCAAAATGCTCTCTATTCGACATGAAGAAACTTTGCCCAAGTACCAGGACTCAGTGAGTTCAGCAGACAGATCAAAAACCAGGGACTGAAGCCAGGCATGGTGGTGCATGCATGTAATACCAATGATTCAAGGGGCTGAGGCAGGAAGGTTGCAAGTTCAAGGTCGGCCTTGGCATCTTGGCAAGCCTGGTCTCAAAAGTAAATAAATAGATAAATAAATAAATAAGATAAAAGACCTGGGAATGCAGCTCAGTGGTGAAGCATGGTTTTCTGAGTGACCAGGACAGTGGAACAGGGGAGGAGAAGAGATGGGTTTGAAGCCAGATGGCTACTCCAGTCCTGTGTCCCCACTGACCTTGTACCTTGTACTCATTACAAAAATTCTTTGGGCACCAAATTACTCATCTTTAAAATTTCTCTCAAATTCATATTTGATCACAAATGTGAAAAGTTTGCAATTTGTAAAATTCTGAATAAATAGAGGGGTTGACTATCCCTCATCCAAAATGTTTGGAACCAGAAGTGTTTTGGATTTGGGATTTTTTTTTGGGGGGGTGGATTTGGGAATCTTTACAAATATATAATAGAATATTTGGGGGACTAAGACCCGAGTCAAAATGTGATGTTCACTTATGTTTCATATATACTTTATACACATAGCTTGAAGGTAATTTTATATAATATTTTAAATAAATTTGTGCATGAAACAAAATTTCAAGGTATGGAATCTTCCACTTGTGGTATCCTGGAAGCACTCAAAAAGGTTTGGATTTTGGAGCATTTTGGAGCTGGGATTTTAAATCAGGGTTGCTCAACCTATGATTAAAGAACTTGGTCCTGGCCCTTTGATTATCTCAGACCATTGTCTGGCTTAGGGACATCACCAGCCAAAGTGAATTGAAAACACTGACGCCGCAAATTAGCAAGAATTTTCCCTATTCATCCATAATAGTGAGTGTTCATCTTCTTGGGTACGTGACCAAGAGTCATTTATCTCTATCCCTGGCCTGTTGGTCACCACTTAGTAATCCTTAGATGACAGGGCAGAAATCTAGGTTTAACAATCCTGCCACGGGTCCATGCCCAGAAAGAGCATTTGGTAAGAGCTTTTATCCCTGTGTCCTTTACAAGGTGAGCCCCGCTATGCCAGGACATTGGGATGTGTCCCATGTGTAGAAGAAGGAAGAAGTGTGTCTTTCCAAGGAATAGCAGGGTTCTCCCTGGGCTGAAGATTGACATCCCTCTCTACCTCCCTCTACTAGGTCACGTTACCACCTAACCAGTTGTTTTGCTACAAAATTCTGGTGACACGATGGTGAAAATAAGTGAGATCTTGTCCAAGAAAATGCACATTTCATTTTTAGACAAATACCTTGTCTTCCTTTCTCCTCTCCCCCATAGTCCTCATTATGAGCAGAACTGTAGCAGCTGCTGTTATCAATTTTATAGCTTCCAGGAAACAAAAGTAATGCCAACTTTAGAAATTCACTTTTGGAAAATCATAAAAAAAGAAGGCAGAAAGAAAACACTAAAGATATCTAGAGCCCCTCTCCTCCGCATCCTCAAGGGCTGACTCTGGGAGTAGGCAGGGTCTCCCCTCCAGTGACTTCAGGTATAATGGAGAACGAAGTGGATACAGACTTGTCACAGGCACTGGAACTTCGTGGGACAGCTGCTGGGGCCTGGGAGGATGAGGAAAGTCCCTGACTTGGTCTGAGAGGTTTCAGGACTTTTTAGGGGAAGGACAAGTGGACCAAGGGAGTAGAGTAACCAGGAGCCGGAATGGCCTGGGCGAGGCCTGAGGGACCTGCTGGGCCAGACACAGAAGCAGACATGGGCTCATTTAGGGTAGGGATGGGGGAAGAGACTGACCACAGTGCGGCCTGGGGCACTTCTTAAGGTGATGGACATGTCCTGGATCTTGTTTTTAATGATGATTACATACATGTCTGCCTTCTCTAAAAATTCTCAGACTGTGCACTTAAAAAGAGGGAGTTTTATTACCCTTAAACTATGCCTCCATAAAGGTAGAAAAAAAAATTCTTCTGTCTTTGGACTAGAGATTCATCCAAGATCCCCGACTCTATCTCACGTCCTGGGAGATTCTGTCAGCATCTCCTCATGAGGGTTCAGCCCATTCATTCCTCCACAGGGAACGTGTGTTTCTGTGAGAAGGGTCTCTAGGATGGGGACCACTGCTCCACCTTGCAGAAGTGATGAGGAGACTGTCATTGGAAAGCCCTTTGGAAACGGGGGATTATCCTAGATAAATAGTTCTAACCCCTTGGACCTCTTTAGCCAAGAACACCATCTACCAGACGGCAGCTATATCAGGAGAATCAGCGTTAACCTCAATGACAATTATGAACTTCATGTCCCAAAATCAATTAATGATTACACAGTCACATTAATTCAGCTCAACAAAACTTGTTGGACTTTGACCATCTGTGAGGCATCTATGACGCACAGGGTCCCACTAAAGTTTAGTGATCCAAACAAGACAAAGGAACGTTTGTCCCTCTTGAGGCCCAATGCTGTGCCAGCAGTTTAATTTCTCAAGTCTAAGGTTACATAGAGCATTAAAGTCAAATTAAGGAATTGGATATTTTTTTTTAAGAGTTTTGGCTTACACTGATCATTCTCAGACTTTTTGGCCAGAGTGGCTCCTTTGAGACCAGCAAAAGGTGCATAGCTGCCAACGTGCTCCATGCATAGACAGCACCTCATGAAAGCAACTATTTTGTGATTATTTTCCCCAATTTTTATTTATTTATTTTTTTGGCACTGGGGATTGAACCCAGGGGCGCTTAACCATTGAGTCGCATCCTCAGCCCTTTTTTTATTTTTTATTTTGAGACAGGGTCTCGTTAGTTGCTTAGGACCTCATTAAGTTGCTGAGGCTGGCCTTGAACTCAGGATCCTCTTGCATCAGCCTCCTGAGTCACTGGGATTACAGGCTTGTGCCTGACTATTTTTCAGGATTTTAAAAAAAGTTTAAAAGTTTAATCACTTTTTGAATTTTTCTTTATGATCATAACTTAAGTTGAAGGGAAGAGTTCCATTTCTGGGTTAGGTGTAAGGAAAACACACGGCAGCTCCCAAGTCTGCACAGAGCACATGCTGCAGCCCTGTGAGGGCACTAATAGGGACAGTAGGAGGTGGACTGGGGAAGAGGATCAGAGTCTTAATCACTATTGAGTGATGCTGAGCTTTCCATTTTTTTTTCTCTGTTATCCCTAGCTGAGTCTCAAGGCAACCTGGTACCCTGATCAATAAACAGGCTAATGAACTAAACAGACAATACTCAAAATGGCCAACAAATACATGAAAATATTGTCAATGTCCTTAGCACTCAGGGGAACATGAATCAAAACTATCAAAACTACCCTGAAGCCTGGGCGTGGTAGCCCATGCCTGTAATCCCAGCCGGCTGGGGAGACTGAGGCAGGAGGTTCTGAAGTTCAAAGCCAGCTTCAGCAATAGCAAGGCGCTAAGCAACTCAGTGAGACCCTGTCTCTAATAAAATACAAAATTGGGCTGGGGATGTGGCTCAGTGGTTGAGTGCCCCTGAGTTCAATCCCTGGTACCCCTCCAAAAAAAACAAACAACAACGACAAAAAACTACACTGAAATTTCATCTCACTCCAGTGGATGATGAAATTTGATGATAGCATCAAGAATATAAATAGTAAGGGCCTAGCCCAGTGGAACATGACTGTAATCTCAATGGCTCCGAAGGCTGAGGCAAGAGGATCATGAGTTCAAAGCCAGCCTCAGCAAAAGTGAGGTGCTAAGCAACTCAGTGAGACCCTGTCTCTAAATAAAATACAAAATAGGGCTGGGATGTGGCTCAGTGGTTGAATGCCCCTGAATTCAATCCCTGGTGCAAAAAAAAAAAAAAAAAAAGAATATAAATAGTAAGGGATGGGGTTGTAGTGCAGTGGTAGAGCAATTGCCTACCATGGATGAAGCACTGGGTTTGATTCTCAGCACCGCATATAAATAAATAAAATAAAGGTCCCTTTAATGACTAAAAAATATTTTCAAAAATAAATAGTAAGTGCTGATGATAATATGGAGGAAAGGCACACTTATGCATTGTTGGTGGGATTTTAAATTAGAACACTCTGGAAATCAGTATGGAGGTTCCTCAAAATATTGGGAATGGAACCACCTTATGACCCAGCTATTCCACTCCTTGGTTTTAATAGTCAGACATGAATACCCAAGTTTACAGCAGCACAATTCACAATAGCCAAACTACAAAACCAGCCTAAGTGTCTGTCAACATAGATAAAGAAAATATGGAATATATACACATGGAATTTTATTCAGCCATAAAGAAGAATGAAATGATGTTATTTGCTGGAAAATGGAAGGAACTTAAGATCATTATGTTAAGCAAAATAAGCCAAACTGAGAAGGTCAAGGGTCGTGTGTTTTCTCTATGTGGAAGCTATCAATAAAAAATAAATAAAATGGGGAGGGGTCACATGCAAATAGAAGGGAGAGCAGTAGAGGAAGGGGAACAGAGGTGGGGAGAGGGAGGAAGGAAGGGAAAGGGAAGATAATTTGGAATTAAATTAACCAAATTATATCATGTGCATGTATGAATATGGAACAATTGAGCTATTCTGTCTAACTGTAATGCACCAATAAAAATTTTAAAAATAAGATATTTTTTAAAAAGACTCAAGGCAACCCGAACCCAGAAATGGAACGTGGGCAAAGGGAGCTTCAAGCAGCTGTCTGGTTCTGGGGAGAGTAGACTTTTAATGCTTAGAGAATGGGGGAAATCATTTGTTGCAACAGTGAAAAAAATCGAATACGAGTCAGATCCGCAGACCAAAGCCTGAGGGCAGAAACACTTGCTCTCCGCTAGGGGGCGCTGCGTCCTAACAGAGGACAGCGAACCTCCCGACTCTCCTCACCTTAGAAGCTTCAAGGGTCCCAAGTGAGTGTGGCGGCCACAGCAAGCACACGCTGGAACTGGGTCACCAGAGTCCCAGCCAAAGGACTGAAAAAGGGGCGTGCAGAAAATTGGAAAGGAGAAGGATCGAGGGGTGTAGGAACTTATGTTTGAAGAAATAATAGTCAAAACTTCCCAAATTTGGCAAAAAAACAAAAATCATTGATCTGTAGAGTCAACAAGTTGAGCCAATTCCAAATAGAATCAGTAGAAAGAAAATCCATATCCAGACATATCATAGTCAAACTCCTGAAAATTGAGGGAAAAAAAACCCCAAGCATTGAAAACAGCTCAACCTTCAAAATGCATGAACAAAAATGAATGGAACTGGAAGGAGAAATACAAATACACAGTTACTGTTGGAGACTTCTTTTCTCCTCTCTTGATAATCAAAAGAGCTATTAGAGAGAACATAGTCGAGGGGAAATCACAGATTAAAAAAACAAAACAAAAAAACTGAACAGCTGGGCATTGTGGCGCTTTAATCCCAGCTGCTTGGGAGGCTGAGGCAGGAAGATCATGAGTTCAAAGCCAGCCTCAGCAACTTAGTGAATCCCTAAGCAACTCAGGGAGACCCTGTATCTACATAAAACATGAAAAAAAGGGGGAGGGGTGCTGGGGATGTGGCTCAGTGGTAAAGTGCCTTGGGTTCAATTCCCCATACTGGAAAAAACAAAACCCAAAACCACCATTAACTACCTAGAGCCAAGTGTGATGTACAGAATGCTCACCCAATGAAAGCACAATTTGGATTCAAGTGCACACTGAACAAACCATACAAAACTTTCCTGGAGCTAGTGAGCTAATTTAGCAAGGATGCAGGATATGAAATAAAGACACAAAAACTTAACATGTGGTAGCAAGGAGCATTCAGAAACTGACCTTTAAACACAGTATTGGGGCTGGGATGTGACTCAGTGGTGGAATACTGGCATGCAGCCTGGGGCAGGGGAGATGAGGAAATCAACCATTCTGTATTCTGATTGAGCTTGTAGTTAAGCCCACAAACTGCATGTGTGTTAAAATCCACTGAAATGAGGACACACAGGCCATTTTTAAAAACTATGTGTTGATATAAAAACAAAAAAATTTAAAACGTAGAACAGAAAAAGCTTTTAGTCAAATGTATTTATTTTGACTTTTTACCAATTCAATGAGATTCAGTCACTGAAGTATCAAAGATGATTTACTGTCATCGAAAACTACCAAACCTTATTACTTACTGTCCCATGAACCAGCAGCAACAGGATCACCCAGGAGTAGGTAGGAGTGTGGAATTTACCAAGCTCAAAGTCTGAATAAAAATATGCATTTTGGGTTGGGATGTAGCTAGAGGGCTTGCCTGGATGCTCAAGGCAACACACACACACACACACAAAGCATTTCAGCCTGATCCCCAGATGATTCATGTGATTGTTACAGTTTAGGAAGTTCAGCTTCAGAGTTATTAAGACCAAACCTGAAGTGCACCCTCCCATGCACTGGTCTTGGGAGAAGGCCGAGGAATGGCTCCATGGGAGCATTTGGGAGGGGGTCCCTTCTCTGGTTTTGGCATCTCTCAGTCAAAATGTTCTGTTTTTGTTTACCATATCTCATCTTATCTGAGTCTCATGTGAATGCTGGTACTCACTTCTGGCTTTCTAGAAGTTTAAGTTGTTTTGAATGCATCATTTAATTGTGTAAGTTAAATATGGAAAAACCTTATTAAGATTTCTAAGTCATTCCCAAGAAGACACAAGGAAGGCGTTTCAAAGGGAAAGATGAATCCCAGCAGCTGAAAAAAGCCAGGTTTACAAGGAGTAGGTCCATTTCTCTTCCCTGTAGAAATGTAAAATGCACCTCATCCCAGGCACACTCAGGTTCCACAGCTTTACCTTTGAGATGAATCTGCTCTGTCTCCTCAGCTCCGGGGCTCACAGGGGTCCTGAAACCTCAGGGTCTCCACCTTTTATACCAGGCGTGGAGAGTTACAGGAACGCCCAAGCCGGTCAAGGTTACAGGCCCGAATTAGTAGCAGAATCACAGAGATCTCCTTCCAGGTGGAAAATAGTCCCCATCCCTGCTCCCACTGCCCACCCCAGGACAGGCAAGCCTCGGGTCTGGCAGGCTCTGCGGGGGGCCATGACTTGGCCAGAGGCAGAGCTCAAGTTTAGAGCATGCTCAGGATTATGTGTGAGCAGGAATCCTTAGAGCAGCAGGCAAAGCTGCCCTCCAACTTTGGAGGCTAAGGAGCCCTGGTTGATGTGATAAGTCACACTTTGGGGTCACCTTGCAGGATGACTTAGAGAAGCGTGTTGTTCTTTGGAGCTGTTAATCCATGGATAGAGCTGGGTGGTGACAGACTGGTTTCCAGCAAAAGGCATCAAACCAAGAAGGGCTTCTCCATCCAAAGTGCCCTTCACACCCTTTCAGTGAACATGCTGTATTCTTTAATTTTTTTTTTTTTTAGTTATAGGTGAACACAATACCTTTATTTTATGTGGAGCTGAGGATTGAACCCAGTGCCTCACATGTGCTAGGCATGTGCTCTACCACTGGGTTACAATCCCAGCCCCCAAGCTGTATTCTTGAATGGAACATGTGGGGTAGTCTCTGCTCCTGAGAGTAGACATGGGTCAAGTTGTAATCAAACCCTTTTGCACTCTGATGGGCATTCTTATGACAGGTTCCAAGAGTCACAGAATCCATGCCAAGGGTGACACTGATATCACTGGAGGTGAAGAGTATCCCCATGGGATGGGGTATTGCTCAGTGGTAGAGTGAATGCTTAGCATGCTCGAGGCTCTAGGTTCTGTCCCCATTGTTCCCCCCAAATCCATTTTGACTTAATGTTTTTCTGCTAATAACATGTTATATACAAACAGAGAGAATATGATAAAATGGCAGTAAAACATTTCTAATGTAAGATCGTGAGGTTTTTGTTTTTTATTTCTTGTTGTTTTTTAAAATTATTTTTAGATGTTGATGGGCCTTTTATTCATTTATTTATATGTGGTGCTCAAAATCAAACTCAGTGCCTCACACATGCTAGGCAAGCGCTCCACCACTGAGCCACAACTTTTTATTTGTTTTTGAGATGGGGTCCTCCTATGTTGCCAGGCTGGTCTCCAGCTCCTGGGCTTAAGTGATCCTCCTAGCCTCAGCCTCTCGAGTGGCTGGGACTGTAGGCATGTACCACGGTGCCCAGTTAAGATTTTAAATATTTATTTTCTCTTTTTAAAAATCCACAGCATACTGAGGATTTAATAGGCAGAAGATTAGCTTGAAGTGTTGGTGTTGGTGTTATTGTTAGACTGACACCAAACTCTAGGAAATCTTTTTGATTGATTGATTGTGTGTGTGTGTGTGTGTATGTGTGTGTGTGTGTGTGTGTCTGTGAGTGTGGTGCTGGAAATCAAACCCAGGGCTTTGTGCATTCGAGGCAAACACTCTACCAACTGAACTATATCCCCAGCCCTGGGAAGGCTTTTTTTATTACATTAAGTTCACTGAAGCCTACATTCAACTTCATTGAATCCATGAGTAAGTCCTCCAAGAAATGGCTTATAAAGTCAAGTGTAACTTGCGACCTCTCTTGGGCTCACAAGTGATCTGGAAACCCCACCTGGCCCACTAACACAGCATTTCATAGCCTTTCTCATTTTTTTAACTTCAAAGAACAAGCATTTCTGATTTTCCCAGTTCCACTAAATTTTGAATGATCCACCTTCTGAATTTCCAGAATTCTATTCTTTATTTTTAATTTATTCAATGGATTTGACTCTTAATGAAGGTCTTCTCAATGGGAATGAAGCTGAGCATCTTATTTAGAACGAAGATGGCCCTGAACCCATGTTATCTACAGACTTTCTCTAAGAAGGTTAAGACTCCAGAGAATCTGAAGGTGTGTGTGTGTGTGTGTGTGTGTGTGTGTGTGTGTGAGAGAGAGAGAGAGAGAGAGAGAGATATGCTGGTTTGGGAGATGATGTCTCCTAGGACGGAGACTCTGGCTAAAATTTCCTTTTCTTAAGAAAATAAAAATGTGCAGGGCATGGTGGCACATGCCTATAACCCCAGCTGCTCCAGAGGCTGAGGCAGGAGGATTGAAAGCTCAAAGCCAGCCTCAGCAACTTAGAAAGACTCTAGCTCAAAAAAAGAAAGAAAGAAAGAAGAAAGAAAACTGAGGCCCAAGAGCAAATACCTTACTTGAGATCTTGTTAATAGCAAGTGACAGCTGTGCATGGTGGCACACACCTGTAATACCAACTACTTGAGACACTGAGGCAGGAGGATCAGAAATTCAGGCCAGCCTGAGCAATTTGATGAGATAATTGTCTCAAAATGAAAAATAAAAGCGGCTGGGAGTATAGATCAGTGGTAGAAGACTCTTGGAGTTTCGATCCCCAGTCTTGCAAAACAAGTTAATGAATAAACTGTAATAAGTGACAGATTGGTTTTGGAATCCAGTAGCCTAATTTCAAATCCTTAATCCAATGTGAGCTCCAGCCCCTTACAGGTGACCCCTTACTTAGAGGCCACACCCAGACTTTCCCGTGTCTCTGCCCCGCTGTTTCCTATGATGAGCTACATAGAGAAGGAAGTTGAGACTACATGAAGAGTGTTGAGGGTTAGCAGATATAAAAAAAGAAGAGCAATCACACGCAGGTCAGATTCCCACAGGACTTCCCTGTGTTCCACAGGACAGTCACAGTAGTGGAGGGCATAAGGACTCTTGAGTTGGGCTTGATTTTGTTTTGCTTTGTATGAACTTTGTGTTTTGGAATGATTAAAGGCTCACAGGAAGTTGAAAAGGAATGTACAGGGAAGTCCTGAGCACCCGTCACCCAGCCTCCCCAGCCTTAGCACTTTTCTCTAAGGAGAAAGGTATTAATAAGCCACCTCCTGGCACTGGGTGTGCCTGGGGAGTGGAAGTGGGCATTGTGTCTCCAGCTCCTGTGTGAGTCATGGGGACAGCGCAGAGCCTAGTTGATTTCTAGTCACACTTACTCCTGAGTCAACCCAATATGGTGGACAGCATTTTCTGGGCTGAGAGTTCCAATGACTAGCTTCTTGGACTCTGCCTGGCAAGACAGGGTTGTACAAAAGCTATGTGACTGAAGTGGTTTTGGGAACCAGGACAGAAGCAGGGGCCACAGCTCTTGAAGTCTTGGGAAATGCCCACTAGGCAGGGCATTTGGAAATGAAGCTGCTTTGCCCCTCGGTGTGGCTCCTGTCCCAGAGCACAGCCTGGTAAATGGAGAGGTTGCTTCTGTTATTACTGGTGTTTTCACAGCAACAATAAACCTTTCCTCCTTCTCCCTTCTAAGAAATAGGGGATTTATGCTGCCTTCGGTTTTTGACCATCGGTTGTCCCAAAAATAAATGAAGGAAAATTGCAGGGGTTGCCAAGGCCCAGCTGGATTTGGGAACATTTGCATTTGATACACTATGTGTTCCTGGCTCTCGGAGCTGGGCTTTTAGATGTGGTGGTGGGAAAGGCAGGGAGAAATAGCATGAGGAGAGGACTTATCTATGGAAGATAACAACTAGGTTTAAAAAAACCAGGAATCCTAACCATCAGGAGTTGATCTGGCACCAGCAAAGTGGGAACCTGACCCAGCCAGCCGCTTCACAGAGAAGATGTTGTGAGGCAGGGAGTTGCTTTATTGAGTTTGGGGGGATGAGTGGAAGCTGAAGAAGTTATAAGCCCTGTCAGAGAGGGCTGGCAGGAGACCCACTTATATCCCAGTGTGTGGACATGGCAGAGCCCCGGGGAAGACTGTTGCTGGCCCTTGTGATGGAGCCCCCCGTTTTAATCAGTTTTGATGTCACTGTGACCAAAATATTTGGTGAGTGGCACCACCTGTAATCCCAGCAACTTGGGAGGCTAAGGCAAGAGGTTCGCAAGTTCAAAGCCAGCCTCTGCAACTTAGTGAGGCCTTGAGCAATTCAGCGAGACCATGTCTCTAATAAAATATAAAAAAAGGACTGGGGATGTGGCTTAGTGGTCAAGTGCCCCAGGGTTCAATCTCTAGTACCAAAAGAGAAAGAGCAACTTAGAGGAGAAAAAGTTTATTTTGAGCTCACTGTTCCAGAGGTCTTGGTCCATGGTCAGCGGACTCCATTGCTCTGGGTTGGGGCAGAACATCGTGGTGGAGAAAAGTTGCCCAGCTCATGGCAGCCAGGAAGCAGAGAGAGAAAAGAGTCAGCGACAAGATATATAATCCCCAAGGGCAGGTTCCCTGACCTACCTCCTCCAGCCATGCCCCACCTGCCTACAGTCACCACCTAGTAATCCATTCAAATTATTAATCCATCCAATGGCCTAGTCCTCCAGTTAGGTTTACAACTCTCAGAATCTAATCATTTCACCTCTGAATATTGCTACATTGCCTATCATGAGCTCTTGTGGGGCGACACCTCTTATCGACACCATAACACCCCTCACTGGAGGAAGATGCTTTCTTTTACTACTGAGTTGCAAGGACTGCCCTCAGCTGTGCTTAGACCTTTAAAGGCAAGTTCAATGTCAATAACACAGAAATCGTGGGGTAGGGGGAGCCAACACATTTCTTCAGCTGATCCCAAACTCTTAATCATTTGGGCTTTGGGACACATGAAATATTCATATGGGTCACGTGACATTTCCAGACTTGACTTGACTGCTTTTCTGGGTTCACCAGGCCAGGAAGGATCTCCCCAGAGCTGGTAGACAGACCTTCCTATTTGCTATCAACAGTCTTCCCTCCTGATGCTCCACAGGGCAGGCTTCATTCCTGCCAGGACCACACCATGCTTTTACAAGGACACGTTCATTATGCCCATACCTCATGGTCAGAAGGAATGTGGAAATAGTAAGAAAAGATGGAGTGTTTCAATTTAAGCCGAGGAGGCAGATTTTCTATTAGAGGGAAGAAGGAGAAGATGAAACTAGTATTTCTGGATGTTATATTGTGAAGCATTTTATGTTGTTTTGTGGTTCTTCACTGAAAGTCCTTGCATAAAATTATCTTCCCTGAAAAAAACTGAGGCTGAGAAAGACCGA